ATACTAAGCCCTGATGGAATAGTATTGCAACAGTTAGAAATTAACTGGCATAATTACATCCACCATTGTCCGATATGTGACAAAACATTGATAGGTATTTTCGAATCAACTCTTGTGAGGACATTATCTGCACGAATGCCTTTTTTATATGTATGTATTTTTATTCCTGTTACTTCTACAGACTCAGCACCAGAAGACCAGCCCCCTGAAAATGTCTTTCTGCAGATCTGCACCAACCCATTGTCTGTACATGTTACATCCTGCTGGCTCATTAGTTTTGCTGTGAGTTGGCCTGCACCACAAACAAACACACCATGATGGCCGATACTTAACTTTTACTGTGAGCAAGAAAGCAGAAAAAGTTATGTGACACTTACATTGTTCTGAATATATAATTAAGAAAGTCCGCAAAACTGTTGTAAAGTACTGTTACAATAAATAAAGAAAAGGACATTTTGAATTTTTGAAACAATTGGTGAAACCTATAACATCTATTGCAGCAAAAGTCACATTTACCTCCTACAAAAACGAATGTACAAATCACATGATCAATGAATATGTAGTTATTTTGGTACTCGATAAGGTTTTAGTAGCAAAGTTGCCAAACTTAATTTTTTTCAGCCACTAAATCATAAAGATTTGCTTCTTATGTGTTATATTAATTATATTTACTGTTATTTTTTACTATAGTATAGTAAAAACACTGAGATTTTGTGTAAATGATGTGAAGCTCAAGCTGCTATCAAACAGCCGGGGTTTTAAGTTTAGAGTTTATGATAATGCTGTGGAAGAGAAACACACACACACACACACACACACACACACACACACACACACACACACACACACACACACACACACTGTTGAGGACAAAAGCATGAAGGGGGTCATTCATTCACTCACAGGGACATGCTCACATACACACAAAAGGCTTTCATACACACTTAACCCGGGCAAATTAAATTCATACACGCATGTGCATGCACGCAAACACAACATGGGAGAAGCAACGGCATCATGTGCTCCGATCACACCTATTCGATTATGCGGAAAAGAGCATGAAGCAAAAAAGTGAACAGTTCCACTAATTCACTTTGCTGGACAGAGCTGCAATGACAAGCAACCGAGATAAGAAACACAGAGTAAAGGCAGGATGAGAATCTGTGTCATTGAGAGGAAATGTCCACCAGATCTCATGTCTCTTCTTCTGATGTCAAACTGGTTCTGAATCATGTGATGAACACTCCAACCACACCGAAGTGGTCATTCATTTTTAAGTACAGAGCATCCCTAACATGATTAACCAAAGCTTTGATTAGTGTGTTTGCTGAAATATTATCATGTCAGACCTATTGCACTTAAATATGGTGGATGACTTTGAAGGATTCATTAATTGAAGACTAATTTATAGGTATCCATGAGTTGTCAAGCACTAACAGCAAGTAATTACACACATAGTACACAACAGTATTCATCCAGATTAGAATTTTTCCATTCTCTCCTAGTCTCAATGTCCTTCGGTGGCGGGGCAGTTGCTTTCTCACTGGCTCTAAACACCAGAGCAAATGTACACCCAGTCATTACCAGCCTTCTCCGCCAGTCCCAGTTGGCAGCCTTGCTCGCCAACAACTGCCTGTGTGGAAACTGTGAATGGCCAGTGGTGTAGACAGACTGCATAGCACCCACAGGAGCTGGGCGAAGCAACTACGTCATGTCTTTGGGTGCATGTCTTTCAGAGGGTTGACTTGCCCTGCTGAGATACAACAGTATCAACAGACAGAATACTGTAAACACTGTTCGAGAGTCAGGAGGGGTAAACTTCATTTAAGTTCCACGATTGAAAATGCAAAAGTTAGGATTACATACAATCTGATGGAAGTTTTATATCGTGAAAGATACTGAGTGCAAAATGCATGAGTGAGCAAGCTTAGTCACGCGTCTCTTCTGACTGACTGTAGGTGGTGGTGGCTAAATCAGAATCAGAATCACTTTTATTGCCAGGTATGTGAACGCACAAGAAGAATTTGACTCTGGTTTTACTTACTTAAATATCTGATGTATGGCTCACTCTACCTCCATCTGCTTCATGACCTGGCTGACTTTGTTATGAAGGCGACAACTTAAGAAGACCAACTTCAACCTGATGTCATCTGTTTCCTGCCTCCTAATCAACAAGTTAATTATGGGTCGTGAGCACACTGAACATACTTGTCATTGCAAGATGGCAAACCTGTTCAGTAGTTATTAAAATAAAGCCATTGTTTGGGTTAAGCTGGTTATGTTTATACTAACTATACATACACAAAGAATTGCCTACACGACCTATTTAGTCTAGTCATGTTCTCAGGTTTTGTCTCTGTTGGCTATGAAGCAATGAAAGCCTTGTTCATCAATCAGGTTTATAGCAGATCAACTGTAACAAAGCTGTCTTTGGATGGGTGACTCCACGCAGGGATTAGGGTGCAACTCAAGCACTGCCAGGGTTGGGAGTTCATTTCCCTGTACGTGTCTTTTTCTTTCTGTTGAAGCATCCATCAGACACCAGTAACTTCAATAAGTCCAAAACATCTGAGCCGGGTGACTCCACACATCCCCAGAAAAACAAAGAGTTCAGCTTTCCTGCAGCTGGGACAGAAACCAAGTGTCTGCCTTTTAGTGACACCCAACATCTGTCAGTGAATTACATCTCAGTCTAAACCTGCAGCCATAGTTATTTTTCTAGGCAAATACACATGATCCGCTGTCTGTTTATCCTAAATACAAACATATACAAACTACCATGAATATAGTTCAGTGCATGTTATTATTCCATATACTTGCTAGTTTGGTGGTAAGCTGTAAAAAGACCTCCCTCATGTCCACTGAGGCACACTGTGACAACACAACAACGAGCAGATGCAGTGATGTTACTGTGAAAAGATAGTAGGTGTATTTTCTACTACACGGCTGTGAGCTGTCCAGTCACATAAAACTCAACTGGATGAAAAATGTCAAGCAAAAGCTGCAAGGAGCCGTTTCTGGATTAGACACAGAAACAAAGCAAATCTCAAAAAGTGTTACCAGGTGGTACCATCTATGAACTCAAGTGTTGATGCTCCAGTCGTGTCAGTGCTCGTAAGTCGTGGCCTCAAATCTGAAAGGAACACTGTCTTCTACAATGTTAGGGTGTGTTTGTTTTTATTAGTGTCTGCTGTGAACTATTATTCCTCCAGTCACTGGTGTCTGCAGGCCTGGAGGAGGCTCACCATATCCCAGCAGCATTAGTAGCAGGCTACTTTCCGCATGTCAGCCTTTCCCCTTTACAACAGCAGTTAAACCAACATTTAGTGGATTAAATCAAATGACCATGGCACTGTGATGAAGTACACAGCACCGGGAGTCTTGCAAAACGCAGACCCCTCTTTTACAGCAACACAGGGGGAAGACGGATTAGCTAGCGACAGGCTAACTCACCCGTTACAGTCACTGAAGTGGGATCCTCGCCGCGGCAATTGTATAAAAATGGGTTAGCGAGTAAATCAGGTAGTTGTCTGCTAGCTAACCGGTGACGGGAGCCCAAACAGGAAGTGTCCGGTGCTATGCGTTGCGAGCTAAAGCTAAGTTTGGCTAACGCTAACCAGCCCAAAGTCCAGAGTTGGAGTAGGAGAGGCGGAGGAGCGGGCTCTCTTTAGCGACACCCGGCCCGGCTCCGGGGCAGGACTGACGGCAGAGGAGAAGGATAAGCACCCTGCTGTCCCCACCGCTCGTACATGAGGGTGTGGAGCGGACAGAGGGGGGGGGACAGAGCTGTCAACTCACTTGTTGGGATCGTTGACGAGTTGCTCGCTGCTAGCTGTCAGTGGAGCTGCACCCGAAGATCGTGTGTGTCCGGGAGGAGGAACCACTCCGTTTGGTATTTTTAGCTCCGTTTTGCGCATGCGCTGCAGTCCTCTGGCTCGTGCACGTCCTTGGAGTCCAGGTTTGTTTACATTTGTCACGTAGAGAATTTGTTCTCACATTCAACATGTGCAGGATTAGAATACAGATTATAGGACTAGATGTTGAATATCCCCTGTATGTTTGAAGGTCTCCTGCACAACTTAAAGGTTCAGTGTGTGGAATTTAGTGACATCTAGTGGTGAAGTTGCGTGTTGCAGCTGAATACCCCTCCCCCCCCCCCCCTTCCAAACATGACAGAGAACCTGTGGAAACCTTCGGTTGTCATAAAATCTGAAAAGATGTTTAATTTGTCCGGTCTGGGCGACTGTAAAAAACATGACGTTCTCAGTATAGAGGAGCTGCTCCTGATTTAAATATGAAGTATTTAAATATAAAGGACTCATTCTAGGGTGAAGAAAACAACGTGTAGTGAAAAAATTACTAGGATTATTTTATATTCAGTATCTGCCAATAAATCCCTTTCACATAAATCTTACACACTGAACTTAATCTAATTCGTGGCCAAAATAAATACTTAATAATAATAATAAATACTGACACCTATGTGGCCAGACTCATCGTGAGTAATCTAATAAACATATGTTATGTTGCCTTCTGGTCAATCCCTTAAGTTCTGATTGTGGAAAACATAAAAACTAATAAAAGTTAGGAATTTTAAGGTTTTGCCCGTAGTGGGTAAACAACATGCTAAATGAATGCTTTGTTCTGAAAAATAATTTCAGCATCTGGTAGTGGTTGTTTGCCTCATGACATTCATTAGCTGAAGGTCAAAGTACTTAAGAGGCCATGACTGAAACTCTACAGAGTTTCTTTTTTGATATGTTAATGAAACTCAAGCAAATTCAATGACAAAAGTGTGTCTGTGTGTGTGTGTGTTGTCAATAATTACACAAAAAGCAATTTCAAGCAGTTACAAATCTTTAATTGTCAAAAGTCAACACTGTCAAATATTACTGTTTCTGTATTTATTATGTACGATTTTCATTTTACCCACATTTCTAAAAATCTTTTTTTTCCTATGTTCAAAGATAAATAGTTAAGTAAGTAGTAAAATAGATAGTTAATACAATGAATAAATAAATGAATAATGACAATGAATCTGTAGAAGTGGACAACAACATTTTAAAACTCTAAATCCTCTTTAGAGATGTTTCAGACTAGATTTCACCAGTTTCCCTAAAAGCAAATAAGTTAATGTTTTGTGACAAGCTTTCATTTTAACAGTCCTCTGTACATTTATTTGTTCTTTCTAGTTCATCCGGAGAAAATCAGGTGTAAAATGGTCTTGAGAAGATTAAAGATGCAAATCTTAACAGCTCTATTTAACCTAAAGGTAATAGTAATTTAGAGAGAAATTAAGTAGTTGCTGATAAATGGACTTTAATAACATTGGTTAAGGTTGTATTTTCTTTGCTTAATGCTTGATTGATAACACGTGGCCAGTCCAAAAACCTTGCAAACTTATCCAAACAATATCACACCATGCAAGTCAGTGAGGTTTCCTTAAACAGCCTCTGAGTCCTGTACACGGAAATACAAAGACAAATATCACTGGAATTATCATCACGAATGGCAAGTAACACTGGACAAAGAGAAAATTAAGTGAAACTGTTTCCAATCACATAAACGTGTTCTCTGACGTTCTCACAATATGAAAAAGATAAAAGAAAACAACATGAAAATAAATGAAATAGTTAATTGCAGTTCAAAGATTCAACATGAGAGTAGTACAGGAGTATAGCAGGAGTGTGTTGACAAAATAGCACAAACTAGTAAATCACACTCCCTCATTCAAAATACATAGTTCAGATCCCAGGGTGCATCTCTCTCCATCAAGAAGACGCTTTCGTTCCAGTTCATATTTACACGTCAAACGTTTTAACTTTTTGCATCACTGTCAGTTAAGAGAAATTCTATCAGTTTTTTTCCAGCGTACCACTGTTGCGTTCAAGGGCTCAGCCAGGCATCCTCGATAATTCACAGGTTTACACTTCAGGGGGGACAAAGTGGTGGTCCAGCGCTAGATCTGGCAACCCGACTACTGTATCCATGATCCAGGTTTAAATGCTTGAAGGTCTAACGTCACGGTCGTAGCTCACTGGGTGTCCACGCTGCTCAAGATGTTCCTCCAATAAAGTAGATGAGATGAAAACTGCTGACAGGAGAGTCCTGGAGATGAAGAGCTGCAGTAGTTTGCTTGCATAGACAAAGCTCCACTCGTGTGCACTCTTCTTCCTTTCCTGTGACTCTAACATGCTTCCAAAGATCCAGAAAACTGCAAATGGGATGCTCCACTCATTATACTGCCCTTGTAACTTTTTCAAATGCATTTCAGTCTCTATTATGACACAGTTGCTTCATAGTTACTCACACATTTCATAACACAGTTTCCTTTTGTCATTTCGGCAGTTGTTGGAAGATATGCAGCAAGAGGAACCCATAGAATTCTCTCAGTGAAGAAATTAGCCCTCAGTCATTAAAGTTACTGTAACAGTCAACAGACAGTGCACAACCATTCCCCTCACGTGGAAGCATAGAGGGACGTTTTCTCACAGGACGTTTTACGGCTACAACTTTATCATTTATATAGTTATTGTCTTTATGAACATGAATATTTAAAATCTATATAGTATAAAGTGAAGTGAAGGTTTGAACTTTAGTGTTCAGAAGTAATCCTCACTTCAATCTCCCCCAACCCTAATTCAATCTGAGAATGTATCTGCACATACAGTGAAACTTCATCCAGTACATCCTCACTGGTGGCTGCTGTAAAATCCCTTCTGTGGTCTTGTTAGTGTTGGTGCTGGTGTGTGTGAGTGTGTGTGTGTGAGTGTGAGTGTGTGTGTGTGGGTGGTGTTATGTGTCATGGGGTTTCGGGCCGGTCACACCTCAGTGCTGATGGCGCGGGTATTGGTGTAGAAATCAGGAGGCCGCCCCCTCTGAGTCTCCCTCAGCAGGGAGCCTCGGACGGCGGGCAGCGGCATCGCCAGTGCCTGGTTCTCATAGTGTGTGGGCATGTAGGTGATGCGCTCGCCGCCATTGCGCATCTCATCGGTGGTGCGAATGTAGAAGGGCGAGTCGTAGGGCGAGCAGCTGGGGCAGTAGCTGCGTCGACCCCCGCCGGGCTTGGCGGGGTTGGAGGATCTGGCCAGCTCCGGCGGTGAAAGGGACAAGGGGCTGATGATCGATCCGTCCAGGCCGGTGACACTGCAGGAGTTGCAGGCAAAGTGTTGCTGAGAGATGGAGCCGCTGTCAGACCCATTCTTCTTACAGCAGTAGTACTACATGAAAGACAGAATCACACTGTCGTAACCTTGTCAAACAAAAGTACTTTTCAACACATATTCATAACAAACATTTATTACTCCAGGTCTGCAATCTGGGTTCATTACTGTCTATATCTTACAGTATTTTTAGTTTGATATTATTAACATACATGAGGAATTCAGTGGTTCAGTTGTGGTTTTACATCCGTATGTCCAAATTAAGATTCTTGCATCAATTTGTACAAACAGTACAAAAAAATAAAAGAATAATAGCTTATGCGTGTAATTAGAATTCCATATATGTGGAATACTAGAACACTGTATATAATATGTTTATATTATACAAATTACTTTGTATTTTTATAGCTCCTTGTATTTATATTGAATTTTTTACATATTAATTACTTTTACTATCTCCTTTTTGCTGCTTTAACAGGGTAAATTTTCCCCCAATGGTACAGATGTATTTGCAAGTAGTATTTTCAACATGAAAATAAAAGGTGACTATGAATTAATACAGTGGCTTACTGTGTGTAAACATGCTTTGTGTACATATATACATATATATAACCATAGCATAAAGTACATAACAACAACACAAATACACACCTGGAGTCTACAGTAACAGAGCACTGCTACGATGCACAGCAGTATCACTCCGGCGAGAATTCCTCCGGTTATAACGATAGTTCCCGCTGACATTCGACCAGCTCTCCATCAAACTCTGACACAGGCACAGGAAGTTACATCATCAACGACCTGCTCCTCAGAAGATTTGAAGTTTAATTAAATCACGCAAATGTCAGTATTCCAGTAAACAGAGAGGCAATCTGCTGGAATATATTTCCTATGTAAGTACGGTAGTGGAGCAAACTTCAGAAAAGGTCATTCTATAATTATGTGACAAAAATGGAGAACGTCCAGTAAATGACGTGAACACAGGGACACATTAATCACGCTGCACAGCTCTGACACAAAGCTTTAATGTTTGAAGCTAAACTGACCACATCATGTTCGTCATGTAGCTTGTCTGTATATAAACATATAGGGAACTTTATTTTGAAATATAACATCAAGTGATTAAATGTGAACGCATATTTCAAACAAAAAAAACCACTACATTGTTGGAAATATATGTTTTGAACTGACAAAACAGAATAAACTTCATAATTACTGTCATGATACTCACGTTCAGCAAAGTTGCTTAACACCTGAAATCAGAGAAATAACAGTAGAAGTTGAATTAAATAACAGACGCATATTCACATCTTTCTATCCATCCATCCATTTATCCATCCATCTACTGATGACCAAAAATATTACATTGAATAAATGACAGGAGAACCAAGCAAAAGCCGATGGCTGCATAAAAGGCATGAAGGAGTTTATGAGTATGAAAATTATATGAATCATATTTTCTGGCCTTCACAGTCCCCACACCTCAAACCAGATAAATGATGAAGACCTAATTATATTTGTTGGATAGAACACACAGACTTACATCAGAAGAGTGTTTGAAGGTGGCAAAGGTCAAATCACAGGTCAAAGATGAGAGGTCCCACCGCTGGATAGCCACACTGTATGAACATCTCTGAGGAGAGGAGGAGAAAAGGGAAACAAGAGGGAAAGAAAAGTAAATGGGTTGTATTCATATTGCAATTTTCTAGTCTTGATGACCACTCAAAGCACTTTACAGTACAGTTTGCCATTCACACACACATACAGTGCATCTATAAGCAGCACTGTTGTTCTATGGGTTGTTTTTGTTTCGGGGTTCAGCATCTTGCCCAAGGACACTTCAGCATGCAAATGGGGATTGAACTGCTGACCTTCTGGTTGGAGGACGACCACTCTACCCCTCAGCCAAAGTCAAAACATTTTCTCCACAAGGTGGCACCAACAGGACAGAAACAAATGTAGTGTAATGTCATGCAATACCATTCAATGCTTTGTTCCCCTAAAAATACCACAAAAACGTGGTATTTGTGTTTAATAACAATACATCTTCATGCACTTGTTTACTGCTGTATCCATCTGCCGTGCATAAACACAACATTGCCACTACACTCAGTGAAAGCATGTGATGTCTTCTCTCTTGGATGTTTGTTCATGAGTTTCTGTCATTGTCTACTCATCCTCAACAGTTAATCATTACTTGTGCAGATTTCCAGCTCCACAGCAAAAATCAGTGAAACAGAACATGGAAAAACTTCTTGCAAAACATTTTGAGGACAGAGAGGAAAGATAGAAAATAGTTTGAATTAAAAACCTCAAAGATATTTAAACATCTTGAAATTCTCAACCATGTTCCACACACACAAGCACATGCTGCTCTTGCACGTTGCGGAGGGGCAGCAGTAAAAGTGATTTAGCAGCGAAGGCCTCAGTCGGTTGGGGGGTTTAATCTGCAGACTGAGGCTTGTCCAGGAGAAGTGAAATCTATTCCTTTGATAAAAACATGTCAAACTGATGATTGAGTTGGAGGGAGGGTCCATTCTGTCCTGTGGGTAGACAAAGGAATGGATGGATGAAAAAATGGAGGGATGAATGTATAGAGGAGGTAAACACGTATGTAAGAATGAAGGAAGTAGGAAATAACATGAATAAAGGGGAGGTGATGAAGGAATTGTAGCGCTGCACATGTAAGTAAACACACAAATGTATTCACACCTTTCTGCATTATAGAAGACTCAGCCTGTCACTTATGAGTCCTGTTGTCTGACGAGTGAATAAACTGTGCATGTGATGTGATAGATGATGTTTGTCAGTCCATCACTGTGCAGATTCATATTAATTAACCAGACTAAAGAGATCCTGGATCCAAACCAGTGCAATCCACCAATATCAATGCAACGTCTAGCGACTGCAGACAGGTCAAAGATTGTGGTGTGCTAAGCTACCAGTGACTAATGTGGCTGTGGGCTACTTGCCTCTCAGAAGCAGGCGACATGGGGACTGAGAAGGAGACTTCATAGTCTCCCTCCTGGAGCCACAGATCTTCCACATTTTAAAGTCTGATTCCCACAGTGGGCTGATCTGTACCTGCAGGTTTGTGTGAGCTACACCAATATTTTCTCATGTTTTCTAGTCGTTGTCCTTTTTGTCTATTCAACACATTGTGGATTTATTTGTGTCCATCGCAATGACACTTAAAAATCATTGTTTACCTGCATGTTTAAAACTGATACTATATTTTTTAATTTTGATGGATTTAATTCTAATCTGATTGTAAGAAGCTGTTTTCAGACTCTCCACTGGAGAGAAAAAGCAGCGCTGCTTCCACCGGCAGCGAACTGAACTGATACACTGGCACCAAGCTCATAAAGCATGTTTCTGTCAGAAAGTACACTAGCCTTCAATTATTTGTGGGGACCGAACGGGACGGCAGCTGACAGATTCCTCTCAACTTCATTCATCATAACTCTCTCCAATGCATGCAATCTCAGACTGAGTACACCACACGATTTTTCATAATTAATGCCAGCGCGGTTACTTGTACTGCAAGAAGGAAATGGAGTCACCGCTGTCACCACATCATCCTTTACTCAGACAGACACACACACGCACACACACAGATTTGTTTTTCTTACATTGCTCTGCAAGCACTTTGGGACAAACTTGTTTGTTAGATTAATTTAAGTTCACTTCATTTGACAAACTGTAGAGACAATGAGATATCTGCGCGCGCGCGCGCGCGCACGCACGCACGCACGCACGCACGCACACACACACACACACACACACACACACACACACACGTGCATGCTGAGCACAGACAGAAAGAAAGCTGGATCAGTCACCACTGGGTCCAGATTAGAGTGGCCCTCAATCCCCCATACTGCCTGAAGAGCCCTGTATACTGATAAGACACACATACACATGCAGTATTCACACAGGCTAACACGTAACACTAGAAATACCGCACTGTGGTTGAATGCCTTTGCTAACCCGGTGCAGTTTCAGTCTGCATAGTTTTTAACAGATTCTCCCTTATAATGACCTTGACCTTTGACCACCAAAATCAAATCAGGTTTTCTTTGAGTCCAATTAAACGTTATTACCAAATTTGAAGGAATTCCTCCGGGCAGTTCTTGAGATACAATGTTCACAACAATACGATGGACAAATGGACGGACAACCTGAAAACATAATGTCTCTGCAGCCAGTGGCAAAAAAACATGCAAGAGAAAAGACATCAGAGTCTTCACAGCATCAGATAGTTTAACTTTACAAAATAACCAGTTTGAGTGAATAATAGGTGCGTCTCAGGTGAATCACAGCGCGACAATGACAAAGACTCCTTCCCTCCTCTGGAGTCGAAGCTGCAATGCATTCTGGGCACAGCACATTTTTGCTTCATTTTGAAGCCACTTTTTCTTCTTTTTCTAAAAGTATCTACAACATTTTGGCTTGAGGCAGAAAATATATTTTTCATCCCCCGTTACGGCTCAAATATCTTATATTGCATCTTGTTGCGACATATCATACTCTGATGCACAGCGCTAATGGCTCGTTATATCACACTTTGATACGACTCACTGTACGTGGGGCTCATTATCTGTTAAATCACTGGATACAACTCTATGTTTTTTCACTTATTCAAATAAATTGAGAAATTCTAACAGAGTATAGTTCATTCTGTTACGGCCCATTATGTGAGATTAAGCCATGTTATCATACAATTCACTGCACATCTCTACACCAGAGAATTGATCTTTAAAGCTTTTCCACTTGAAGTCTCCAGCATTCAATATTTTGCGACTTTCATCAGGCTTTTTTATCGTCTAGTTGTCATGTAATTGTGCCCACTTCTATTGCTGCTCTCCTTTTGTCTCTGCCCTGTAAAACTATCTTGTCTGCGGAATAAAATCCCCTCATATTTTAATACCCCAGGATCCCCGGATGCTGTTTTTGGCAAAACAGAGTAATGAGAACACCCCTCCTCTCTCCCTCCCTCTCTATCTCTCTCTCCCTCTCTCTGATGGAGTGTTCTCTCTGGAGTCTCGGCCATCAGTCTTCAGGAGTATCTGAAGGACCTTCACTGCCCTGGAAGATTTTTACAAGATTGATTCTTTGGATCTTAAATTGCTCAGGCCAGCAGTCAGCTGGTATCAGTCTTTGGCCCTACACACACACACGCACGCACGCACACACAAGCACACACACACTACAACACCATCTGTCCTAAGTGTCTTGGAAGAAAAGACCGCAGGTTTGATTCTAACAATATGTCCAGACTGTATTAAAGCAAGACGCTAACCTGTTCATTCATCAGACAACATCATCAAAATCGTCAGACAGAATTCTCAAGACGTACCAATGTATACGTTTTTGCTGTGATAACAATATTAGTATATTAAAAAAAATGTAGAAACCAATAAAGCGGCTGATATATGTGATGATTATAGTCATCACATATAGTTCAGATCTGGTTCTCAATGTCCAGCTCTCATTTGAAAAATATGGTTTAGGAAATCTGACAGTTCACCTGATCAAGCAAAGACCCCTTGTAACGAGGCTTGAGTCCTCCTGAAGCGGCCACAGGTTCGATTCTGACCCTTTGCTGCACGTCTTCCCTTGCTCTTACCAGTTCTCTCCTATCAATAAAAGCCTTAGTGCCCAAAAGTAAATCTATAAAAAAAAATTTAAAAACTTGGTTTAAGGCAACTACCAGGTATTAATTCAAGCTAAATTTTAGCACATATTATTTTGGAAA